GGCCAGTGGCGGACACAGGGAAAACTTCTGGCAGCTTCTCACAGAAGCCACCCCTGTAGCCCCCCCACTACCAAGACCTTGCCACAGAAACCCAATATACCAGGTTGGACTGTTGACACAACATAGGCACCCTGCTCCCCTCATAGTCTTTTCTGCAAATGTAATAGCCTGTCTTCCTTTGCTGATCTTCTGCAATAGTTCCTTCTTATTTGCTGTCCTAGAGAAGGGAGCTTGTAAAGAAAAGCTGCAATGGGACCATCTTTGAGGTTCAAGGACTGATAGGAAGAGACAGGAACCACCAAAGTGGGGCAAAAGCATCCTTGCCAACAGGCTGGCCAACCTGGTGAGGAGACCTTTAAGCTAGGAATGACAGGGGGGAGACAAGATGACCCACGACCAAGTGAGGAAGTGATCTTAAAAAAAAAGAGTGCAGGGTGATGTGAACAAGACAGACCTGTTGAAACCGACAAAACAGGATCTAAGGAGGCTCACCCCAAGTGTATGCACATGGATCAGGAAGTGCCTACAGGACAGCAGGAGGGGGGAAGCACTTGTACCTTATCTGGAAAAACAGCACCACTGGGTGCCTGTGTGAAATGCCTCTACATTAGCACACGCAGCCAGGGGAATGAGGAGGAAGAATTACAGGTCTGCATGCAGTTATAGGTCAGTGATCTCCTTTGGGATCACAAAGATGTGGTGGGATAACTCTCACAACTGGAGCGCTGCCATGGCTGGATACAGGCTCTTTTGAAAGGACAGGTCCAGACAGCAAGGACAGGAGTTACCTTTTATTTGTATGTGGAAGAGCAGCAAGAACACATGGAGCTATGCCTAGGGATGGACAAAGCCAGCTGAGAGCTTGTGGATCAGGACTGGAGGGCAGAACAATGCAGGTGACGTTGTGGTGGGTGTCTGCTACTGACTTGCCTGATCAAGAGGAAGTAGTAGATGAGGCCTTCTTCAGATAGTTAGAAGAATCATCGTGTTTGCAAGCCCTGGTCCTCATGAGGGACTTTAGTCACTCTGATATCTGCTGGAAGGACAACACAGCAAGGCAAAAGTAATCTACGAGGTTCCTGGAGTGCATTGATGACAAGGGTCCAAGAGAGCTGGTTAATTTTTCACGAATCACCTCTGCAAGCTTGAGATTGGTCCATGCAGTCATGCAGGAACTCAAGCAAAGGTGCCAGGAAGCTGGTATGGGTGAACAAGGATTTTCTGATTCAAACATAAAATGGAAGAATATAAGAGGTGAAAGCAGGTACAGGTGACCCGGGAAGGATACAGACATACTGTCTGAGCATGTAGAGATGGGGTTAGGAAAGCCAAATACCACCTATTGAATCTGGTAAAGGATGTGAAGGGCAACTAGAAGAGCTTCTACAGGTATATCAGGTACAAAATAAAGATTAAGGAAAATGTGGGCCCACTGCTGAATGGGGCAGGGGACCTGATGACAAAAGACATGGAGAAGGCTGAGGTACTGAATGCCTTCTTTGCTTCAGTCCTTACTGGTAAGATTTGCCTCAAGACATTCCAGATCTCTGAGACCAGTAGGAAAGTCTGGAGAAAGGGGGACTTGCCCTCTGTGAAAGAGGATCATCCTGGGGAACATTCAAACAAACTGGACATACGCAAGTCCATGGGACCTGATGGGATGCACCCATGAGTACCAAGGGAGCTGACCAATATCACTGTGAGGCCGCTCTCAATAATACATGAAAGATCATGGAGATTGGGGGATGTTCCTGAAGACTGGAAGCAAGCAAATGTCACTGGTATCATCAATAAGAACAAGGAGGATCTAGGGAACTATAGGCCAGTCAGTCTCATCTCGGTCCCTGAGAAGGTCATGGAGCAAATAATCCTGGAAACCTTTTTCAAAGGTATGAAACATGGCAAGTTGGTGAGGAGTAGTCAGCATGGATTTATGAAGGGGAAGTCATGCTTAAGCAACCTGGCCTTCTACAGTGAGATGATTCATTCAGTGGATGCAAGAAGAGCAGTTAATGTTGTTTATCTTGTCTTCAGTAAGTCTCCTGATAGTGTCTCCCATAACATACTCCTAGACAAACTCAAGAAGTACAGGCTAGATGAGTAAACATTGAGGTGGACTGAAAACTGTCTGAACTGCTAGGTTATGATCAGCAGCTGGAGGCCAGTCACTAGTGGTATCCCCCAGGGAAAGATACTAGGGCCAACACTGTTTAACATCTTCATTAATGATCCCATTGATTTGATAAAGGCCACCCTCATCAAGACTGCAAATGATACAAATTTGGGAGGAGTGGTTGATAGTCCACATGGGTGTGCTGCCCTTCAGAGGGATCTCAACAGGCTGGGGAAATGGGCCAAAAAGAACCTTAAAAAGTTCAAGAAAGGGAAATGCCAATTCCTGCCCCTGGGTAGGAACAGTGCCATGCACCAGGACAAGCTGAGAATCAGTCAGTTGGAAAGCAGCTTTGAAGAGAGATTATTGGCCAGAAGAAGTTGACCAAGAGCCAGCAGTGCACCCTTGCGGCAAAGGAGGTCAACAGCCTCGTCGGCTACACTAGGTAGAGAATCAGCAGTAGGTCAAAGGAGATGATCCTTCTCCTCCGCTCAGTCCTGGTGACACCAATCTGGAGTTCTGGGTCCAGTTCTGGGATCCCCAGTGCAAGAGAGACATGGGCATATTGGAGTGGGTCCAGCAAAGGGCCATGAAAATGATTAAAGTACTGGAGCATCTGGCATATGAGGAGAGTCTGGGAGAGCTGGGACTGTTCACCCTAGACGAGAGAGGATTCAGGGCAGGTCTTTTCAATGTGTATAGATGATGGAGCAGGGGTAAAGAAGACAGAGACAGACTCTTCTCAGTGTCCAATGAAAGGATAAGAGGTAATGGGCACAAACTGACACATGGGAAATTCTGTTTAAACATAAAAGAAAACTTTTTTACTGTACAGGTGGTCAGTCACTGGAACAAGTTGCCCAGAGACGTTGAGGAGCCTCTGTCCTTGGAGTTACTCAAAACCTTACTGGACCAATCTGCTCTACCTGTCGCTGCTTTGAGCAGAAATGTTGTATTAGACAATTCCCAGGGGTCTCTTTGCACCTCAGCAATTCTGTGAATCAGTATTTTTGCACTGTTCTCTACTTAAGATAAACTTAGTTGTGGATTCTGCTAGAATATATGCCTCCATAAGGAAATTAAGTCAAAAAATCACTCTGAACTTAAACTGAGACAACTCAGGTCACAACACCACCAGCAGACTGGAGAAATATATTTAAAAAACCCCCAACTACCCACAAGCAGGAAGTCACCCTCCTTTCCTCCAAGGCATGTTTACCCCTGCTTCTACCAGTGAATTCCTTCCTCTTTGATGCCAGGTAACTCATTACCTTGTCACTTCTTTTTGTCTTCAGTATTCCACACTGCTCTGCATGTTCTCTCTCTCCAATGACATAACTTAAATATTACCAGCCCATTAGGCTCACCATTTCCTGCTGGCCCAGCAATCACAATTAAAATGTCTCACATTAGAGTCTGATTCAAGCAGAATGCCCTACTGGGACATGAGCTCAGTGACAAAAGCAATAATCAAGGTTTCAGTAGGATTTGCTCGCAACCTTATTACTTTCCTGAGGTACTGAGATATCGGATGCCTTTAGGCACCAGATTCTGTCATCTTATTCATTAAGACTTTCACGTCTTTCTTTGCTCCTTCCATTTTCCCCACTGTTTAGCCCTAAATTCCCTGTGATCTCTAGGATGCCATCATCGAATAGCCACTTTCTTTATAATTTCCCAGAGTTCTTCAGAATTAAGGATCTTTCTGCCTACAGATTACTAGGAACATTAATGTCCAGATCTTAGCCACCTCCTCATTCCATCCAGGCTAATGATGTAAAAATGGAACATATTATTTGGGTGGAGGTCTCTGTTGCTCATATGCTGTCATCAGTGAACGTCTCAAGTTGCTTCATACATTGGTTTTCACAGCATTCTTCTTTAATCGCTTCCAGCGTCTCTGTTTTCAAGCTTTAGTGAATTCAAAATGCTGGATTAAATCAGTAAATGAGTCTCTAAGACCCATGTGTTTTTTGACCTTCGTGTGCTCCCTCTCATTAAGGCCATTGTTTGTCATCTTTCTCTACTCAGAAGTGCTGTGATTCATCTATAAGGTGAAGAGTCACCTAGACCATATCTACCCACCTTGGACATATTCTCTGTTCTCCCCGTCCTCTCCTTTTCCATTCTTTCTAACCCTGGATGCATATGTCATATATTTTCTTTTACAATTTATGTATGTATTTTATTGTACTATATACTTTCTTTTTGGTAGTCTCTTTAAAATGCCTTATGATTTTTATTTTTCCTCCAGAACTGACCTTCGGAATTTCAGAAAACCAGACACAGCTTTTAGGATGCCAAATGAAGTCCTTAACTGGATGCCCAATTTGTCCCTGCAAGTAAGTAGGCTGATTCTCTGTGCAAGCAGGTACCCCTCTTATATACTGAGCCCACCAAAACATTAGTAGCATCACTCAGCAGCTTCACTGTTTCTTGCAGGTCGAGGAACCATAAGCATCAAACAAGTTCAACTTATAAATAGATTATTAATTCTGCTGAAAAATAACTTGTCCGTGTCCTCCTCCTTCTCAGAACACTTAAGTTTTGTGTTGGTGTTAAAAAAATGAATGCTAACTAAAGAAAAAAAAATAAATCCCCCAAACTTTTTGGGAGCAAGACCACATTGTCTTTGTATACTGCTGGGTTTAAGTACTGTCTATTGTGCCCAGATCAGTGTGTTCTTTCTGTAAGAGAATATGTTCATATTTTCATGCTTTTAAAGTTTTCAGTAATGTTAGATAGGATATTGTGCCTGGCAGTTTTGTCTCTATTTTGTGAACCCAGCTAACACCAGAATTCCTGGAACGTTCTCAGAGTTGATGGGTAGCTTTCCTCTACAGCAACAGCCCATCATCACAGACTCCCCTTGCCATGAATTCTCTAGAGCTGTCTAGAAATAAGTATATAAATTTTCCAAGGATTTTACTTTAATAGCTCAGTCTCTTACTCGGAGCCAAAAAAGCACCTTGTCCTGTCAAGGTACTAACGCGTTAGCCTTTGACATACTTTTCACTTCTTGTACACTTTGGCAAAGAGGAGGCAGGAAAAGTTTTTTTTCTGATATTTCTAGAAGCAGTGAGGTGTTTCATTTCACTTGGTAGCAGCTAGGACTTTTGCTTCTGAAAGTTATACTGTGGGGATCATGCCCGCTGACTGAATTTGTGATAAATCTGTATCTCTTCTTCTTTTGATTAGGTTTTGCTCCAGTAAGTCGTACAGTTAAAAGCCATGGGGAGAATCACGTTGTCTCAGAGACACAGGCGGAGCACGCGGGTGTTTTAGGGCACTGGAGGTAAAACCCTAAGAGCACACAAATCTTAGTGATAAAGCTCACTGAAACAAAGGATAAAGTTTTCTTAGACTTACACAGGGTTTTGCATCAGGCTGCTGGTAGCTATTAGATTTTGCACACCTACCGCTTTATAGCAGTTTAATCCACTTTTTTTTTTTCTTTTGAGTGGAAGGTGTAGTATATAGAATTGAAATGAAATATGGTAAATCTCGGTAGGACTGAAGACCCTAGAGACAGAAGAGCACAATCATGGCATGGCATGGCATAGCACGGCATAGGTAGTTTGGTAAACTTGTTTTTACTGCAGGCTTTTTTCTGAGATCCCTCTTGGCTTTTAGTTCTCGTCTACAGGCAGCTTGTAAACATTTCAGCAGAGGTTATGTTGCAGTGAATCTCTGGCAAATTAAGTCTGATTTGTCTAAGTTAAATTCTGTTTCCAGTACTACTTTAGATTTAGGACAATTAATTGCAGTAACGATAAATCAAGGGAAACTGCACGCAGAATGGGAATACTAGAGCAAAGAAATTAATACTGTTGCAAATACTGGAGGAAATCATTGCCTGGTGTATGTAGTCAGAAGTCTCCTGGACTAGGATCTGCCCTGAGCAATGTACTCCCTAAACCTTTGTTAAATCAACACATTTGGAAGTTGCAGGAGGATTTGAATGTTCACGTCATTTTTGTAGCCAACTGATTGCGACCGCCTTTGCTCTGAAAAAGAAGCATGTTTATCTGTCTAAAAGCTTCTCCCTTCCTCAGAACACTTGTAATCTATTGTTGTTAAAGCTCTTTAATCACTTCTGCAAAATCAACGTGGAAAATGAACGAGGTCTGTGAACGGAAAGATGACTTAGCGGGAACTGATCTATAGAGAACGCTTTTGTAAGAAGTATTCTTTGTCTCCCACCTTTTGTCTTCTGCTAAAAAAAATACTTATTTAAAATTTATTTCAAAAACTGAATAGAAATAAGATAACAAAAACAACCAGTGCTGTCTGGCATGTTTCTGTTTGTGTGTCTCGTAATTATAGCATCGTTATCTGGTTTTTAGTGAATATCTGCCCAGTGCTGAAATTATCTTAAGTGCACAGACAACACACAAATCTGTGTACAGGGGAAATGGCATTATCCAGGTATATCTATACCTTGTGGGCTAAAATATCAGGCTAAAGGGAACAGGCAAAATACTGCCTGTGAGCATATGCCTCTTCAGATGTCAGTATGGTTGCTGATGAATCTTCTGTTGTAATCTTCCCTAAAAGCTGTTGCTGCATTGCCAAGTCACACAGAAACAAGTCTACATGAAGTTCTACACATGAGATGCAAAGAAAAGTATATATATATATTTTATTTTTTTTTTTTTTCTGCAGGGTATCTTGTGCTAAATCATTATGATTCTTTCTCTGGGTTGACAGTGCTGAGAACCTCTGAAAATCGTTCCCATGGTTCCACTTCTTCTCTTTGTTCCTTCTACCTTCAAATCCAACAAAGTCACTCATGCCTCTGTCTGGTGAGGGGATTTATGGTTAAACAGTCTCTCAGGCTGGAATTTGGCACATTAGACTCCCATCCACTTGCATATGGATGAGAGTAATGAACAGCCTTTAATACAAGGTGGTCTTTGGGCTTTCAAAGGTCTACAAAACAAACCCAAACTGCTTGTTGAGTCGAGTAAAACTGTGGATGGTAAGGCTCTGTGTATTTTTACTGTTGCTCTTAGTGGGGGTGGTTGTGGCCAGGTAAAGAAATACTACTCCTTCAGGAACACTTTTAAATTATCTGCTCCTCTTTGGAAGCTGCAAATTGTATACTCAGTCTTGCACTCCATGTACATCTAAATGCTTCATTGACTTGTGCCAAGAGGTGGAAACTGGCCTGCTTGTTTTGATACATTCCTGATGATTTTGATGGAAAATCTAAATGTGTAAAGAACACAAGATCCTCCCCACTAGCAGCCAAAAGGGTAAAATTGCACATTTGTTACTCTGGGGAATCAGGGAAAAAAAAAACAACAACACAACCCAAAACCAAACCAAACAAAACAAGAAAAAAACCTAGTAAGAGCAAGCTCTTGGAGATAGAAAGAAACCAAGGAGGAAAAGCTGTGGTTAAGCTGAGAGCCATCTATCAGAGCAGACCTTCCCATCTTATTGAATCACAGAACAGCCCAGGTTGGAAGGGACCTCAGAAGGTCACATGGTACAACATTTGATGGGAGAGGGAGCCTAGATGAGAATATCTAGCACCCTGTCCAGTCTTCTCACATGGCAAAGCATTCTGGTTCCCCATATGCTGTAAGGTGAGAGCTGAGTAGTGCTTCCTTGCCTGCCTCATCAGATTGCTGCGTTGGTGGCTTTCGATCTGACTGTTAATTATTCTTTTTTATTGCATGTTTTTGTATTAGACACTTAGCTCTTCTTTGTAATTAGACATAGCGATTATAGTATCTTTTTATATTACACTGGAGTGTTCCTTTAATGCAGACATCAAATAAAACAAAACACATAAAATACAAAAAAAAAGAATTGCCACAGTAATTCTTGGGTCCGAAGGAGTGAAAAAGTGGGAGAAAGTGAGTTGCAGTTATTGGTTTTGGCTCCAGCAACACAGTTAATTTTTTTTTATTATTCTCCTCCAAATTATATTTATTCATTTATTAGAATTGACTGAGTGAATTAAATATAAAACCAATCCAGATCTTTAAAGACAGACATTATTTGTTGTATCTAAACACAACTTTTTTGTTATTATTCAATTGCTGGGAAACTTTTTTTTTTTATTAGTGTGAATGTTTCCTGAGGTAAGGGTTATGTGGTGTGAGGAGAGAACACTCAGGACAGAAGAAGACATAGCAGAGTATCTGACAGCACAGAGCAAATTCGTGCTGTTCCTTCACGGCAGCATCCACACAGTGATCAGCACTCCAACAGCTTCCCTTTATCTGAGGAACAACACGTGTATTCCAGGAGTACTGTTCCACATGGCCCCATCTGGGAGTTTGTTTCAGAACAGAATTACCTTCCCCATGATAAGAATCTTCGCGTAAGGAATTATTTTGGGAAAAAGCCATCTGCTCAGGGAAAAAAAAAAAAATTAAAAATGCATGATTTGGAGAATAAAGCTCTCTTACAAGGATGGATGAGGAAGCAAGGGTCCAAAGAGCTGTCCCTGGAACATGTTTTGGAACAAGCTGTTGGGATTGACTGTAGTGTCACTGCTTGTGTGAGAAATGCCAGTCAGTTGGCTCCCAGTGAATGAATGAAGCAGGTCTCCTTCACCAGCCTTGGCTCCAAGTCCTTCCTGACCAGCGCCTGAGTAGTGAGGAAGGAGATTTCTTCCTGTTACAAGCAGCATCAGCGCTTGGTGGTATCTAGTGGGACTGGCATGATAGAGTGGGATAGAACTGCCCTGGGGAGGCAGCTAGTGAGACGTTTTAAGGGAGAATATCATTAGGTGTTTGCTGAAGGCAAGGCGGTTGCTAAGATGGTTTTACAGTAGTTCAGCAGCTAATTCTTGAATGCCTCAACAAAGACCATAGCAGAGAGATGACATCTTATCAGTCAGATATTAATCATACCTTCTACAAAATCCCTGATCCTGTTGAGCATAGAGTTCCATCTATCACACGATTTCAGTACAAGAATCACTAAAGTTTGTGCAAGCACTCTTTTTTTTTTTCATGATTTTTAAAACTGCTTTTATTCCCCCAGTTGCTTATACAAGTATAAACCAGGAGTAACTTCTGGAGTGACTGCAATCCAGAGGAGGGTCTGCAAATGGAATAAATCCTCCACTTTGCTGGAGACCTGGGTGGAGGAGGACTACCATCCTTTGTAAAAGCTGTGTTTGAAAGTGCACAGAAGATAAGATACACCAGCTGTGTTAAAACAAGCCATTTTCATCTCACACATACACCCTGCAATTCTACTTTTTAATTCCTAGGCAATCACACTGCTGGAATCTTATTCAGCCATTGAGTAAAATATATGTTTGTCTTGCAATTATGTAAATAAGGCAAGTGGTTAAGATTTAGACCTGGAATAATAA